CCCCCCACCCCGATTTTATGTTCAGGTTTTTCTTTTCCATAGATTTCTTTGTTGTACCTCATCAAGCAAATATAAAGAAGGTGTTTCTTGTCAATCTGGAGCTTGGATTTTAATGTTTTTGTGTTCCACATTCTGTCATTCCTGGAAATGCTCATGGAGGAACGCTCCTACAGTATGATGTAGGAGTACAGACCTTGTTCATTTTTGTGTATTTTCCCCGAATACATTAAAATGATGGTTGACATATTTCCTATAATTAGTGCCAGTTCTCAGAACAAATAATAAATATTACAAGCCCWAGGAGATTTTTAGGCAAGCTATTTTTTTTCAAATAACCAAATAAATAATTWAAAAAATTACAGTGGAAAAAGATAATTTAGTTAGACACTAACAGTAAACAAAGCTGCTTCAGAGATTTCTGATGTATACGAAGACAAAGTCATCCTTTGTGAAGTAAGTGGACCAAACTCTAATCCTGTGTAATATCTTCATCATTTTTACTTTATGTCCATTCAGAATCCATAATAGCCAGTTTTGTTCAGAGGCAAGTCTTTAAATCTACATAATCAAAGAGGCGCTCTCAGTGCGACCTTCTGCCTCAGGATACAGTTTTCTTAATTTCCTGTTTGAACTGATATATTAACTTCTTTTTTAGTATCTCTATTATCTGTCTGACACTCACCTGACCCCTTCACCTGAAGGAAGGATACTCAGCTTCATTCCTGATTTTCTTCACCTCTGCTGARTCACACTGGATATTCTGTATTTTTTCCACACAAAAACAAATTTGAGAGTAATTTCAGCAGGATTTTTCCAATATGCCTCCAGGGTTTTGTTAACACTCATAAAACGGAACTTCAAACGTCTGTGAATTTTTGGCAGCTTCTGATGGATCTCTTTGTACCCATCGTGCAAACAGAGCAGTTGGTAAAATGGTCTGAACTGCAAGTGTTTTATTTCAGTCACTTCAGGACATTCCTCAAAGGCTTATTGATTGACTCTTTTGTCTGCTGTAGCGTTTGAATCCAAATATTCRCTGACTGATTGCAGACTTTGCACAAGAGAGGAAGGAAGAATACTCAAGATGTGCAGCCAATCATTGTTGGATGAATCCAAAGAGGCGGTTGTTAGACTGTGAGCCCAATCAAAGCTCATTACATGCATCCAGTCAACTTGAAGTGTCCATCAGAAACAGTTCATACAATGGGCAAAAAAATAAAAATATAAAAACTCTTCAAATACCAAACAGTAACCAAAACCATTCTGTGAAACTGTAAAGAAGTCGCAAGAAAAAAGCTGTCAGTATTTCTGAGCGACTGTTCCAGATGCAATCGTTTCAAAATAAGCCACAGCAGCAGTGCGTGTGTTTTAAACTACTGAGTATGATAGTATTAGTTATTACAAAACAAGTGTGCTCTGCTCTGAGAAACACTGTGGCTGACTTTAATAACAGCTTCAAAAGTGGAGACGCTGTTTAAACATGTGCAGTCAAAGACAATGCAGTGGTTTTTAAAACCTTGAAGTCAAAAAATAAATGGTAAATTTGTGGGTTGCACAAAATTTGCCTTATCTGACATTCACAAACTTATTTTGTGTTTGTTCACACTTATTTTGAGCTTATTTTGAACTTATTTGGCGGCACCCCAGGTGCTGCCAATCAGATGATCAGTATGAGATTTATTGCCAAGAAACATTGTTGCAACAAAGAAAAAATTATCAAAACCAAATTTCCTCACTTATTGTGCGTTTATAAAAATTCAGAGAGCGAGAGACGAAGAGAGAGAGAGAGAGAAGTGGGCTCCACTCTTTAAAGTCACTCTTAACCTTCCTGCTGCCCTTGGATCAAAATGAAACATCAGGCTCTTAACTGTCAGATGGAGGGTTAAAGCCATGACCCAAAGTCAATGTGCTTTCTGTATTGTCATTTTTTAAACTGTGCAAGAGGCAGATGAAGTTATTAAGTTTTTATGTTTGTGTCTATACACACCACAATAATAATAAAAGGAGTCTAATTATTATTTTTGAACACTAGAGGGTGCTCCAAGCCAACATTCAAGATCTAGAAAGGGAGCTGGCAGCGCGTTCTCCCAAGGCTGCAGCAATAAATTGCCTAACATAAATTTTCCAAAAGATGGCAATATAGGATTGTCTTCTTACCACCCCCATGCTGGGTAATTAGGCAAAGAGAATGCTTTTAACACATTAAGATCTGGCTTCAAATTAATTAACGAGGCAGGAGCAAAGCACTCAAGTTTGTCTTGCAGTTTGTATATTTATTTTAAAGCAACTTCTTCTGTAAAATATAAATACAAATTATGGGATATTTTAATTACAAAGTTAAAACAAAAAAACAAACTGAGCACACCAAAAATTTACTTTACTGCAGTAGCCTCCCTGTTATGTACAAAGCTCTGTGCCGCAGGGGGAATTATCAACATTGTCTTAAAACTTTACTATACAAAAAAGGTTGCCGTTTTGCTTGTTAAATTACAGCTTAATCAGAAAGCAAAAGGGAAAAAAAATCAACTGAAAATAAAAACATTACAACAAAAAAGCCCCTGAGGCTCAAGCGAGCACTAAAGTTTGAGGAGAGGAGGAAAAAAAGGACATCATGTGCTTCCTATAAACTCAAAAACCAGATTGAACAGCACAGCTTCGGGACTAGTCTGTACATCTAAACACATGCACAAAGTGCTGTGCGCTCACACACAATGGCCGCACTCTGCTGCTATACAAAGTCTTACAGAGGAGTCAAAGCAACATCTAAAAAACAAAACAACTCAATATTATATATACTGTATATATTTATTTATACATATATTAATTTATAAAAATAAGACCATTATGAAGTCTCTTGTGTCACAAACGATTCTTAGTTAATGGAGKGAAATGATTCAACAACCCAGTCAGGCAGTAGGTCAGTTCATCAGTACAGTGGACCGGTGCCGGTCCAGGTCAGGCTAAGGCATATTGTTGTAACCTCTCATTGGTTCTAAAGCAAACTCCATTTGGGAAAAAAAGAACAAGGTCAAAGTTCAGCAGGTCAAAGCGTCAGAAGGAGCCCAACTTGCCGACTGCCTTGATTTTGTCCTTTAGTTTGTCCCCTGGGTGGTCCCAGCGGTCGTCCAGACACTCCAGTGTTGAGCCCAGCAGGGCGGCCAGCTCGGCGCTGTCCTCCACCAGGTCAAGCAGCTCCTTGCTGTCAGGGTGGAAGCCCTCCAACTCCTCCGGACAAGAGAAGAGCTGCGACAGAGACGCTTGGCGGTAGAACTCCGCCTCTGCCACCGTCACCACCTCCATGTGGGGGAAGGTCTGCCGGAAGGCGCGAGCCGACATCCGCAGCCGCCGGAGCACGTCAGACAGCAGTAGCCAGTTTCTTGGTCTAAAAGAGGGAAAATGTTAAAGAAATGATCTCCGGACATAAAAAAAACGCAGAATAAAAAGGGTTAAAAGAGGCGTGTCTGCTTCAGAGATCAAAGCTCACCCCTGGGACAGGGACACCTGGATGTTGTAGCAAGGCAGCAGAGGTCGATCGGAGAACTCGAACTCAAACAACTCCCTTTTATCATCCTCTTCCTCATCATCYGGGCCTGGTGGGTCTGCAAGTACGTCATAAACTCCACCCTCTTCACTAGATTCTGGAAAAGAAAAAAACATCTAAATTATCATAAAGCTGCCTTGACTAAAGGAGGGGACACTGATGACACTTGGAAAAGAAAAAAGAAGYCTCAGTAAGCAGTAAAAGGACACACACGGTGCTGATCGGAACTCACCACACACAACGCTGCCATAGAACTCCCAATAAAGCCCTGGGTCGTCATCTGAGCGGCCCTGAAGGTCAGCGAAATAATCTGCAGAGAGAGGAGAGCAGGCTGTTATTCAASAGACGAGAACAAGGCAAATGCAACTGCMCTCAGAGACTACAGCAGGGGAAAACATGGTGAAACAGAGAGAGACAAACAGAGAAAATGTTTTAAAATGTGGTGGAGGTGTGTGTGTGTGTGTGTGTGTGTGTGTGTGTG